CTTTTACTTTTTACTTTTAGTCATTTATCAGACGCTTTTATCCAAAGCGACTTACAAATAAGAAAAAGTAATTAAAACTAAAAGCTAAAACTCTATAAATACTATATATATACACATTTAAGAAAATAAAAGAAATTAAATAAAAATGACAAATGCATACAACAACATTTCAAAACAAAACATTTAAATGAAAAAAAAAAAGTAAAATAAATAAAAAAATTAAGCTAAAAACAATTCAAAATATTAAAAGAACAAAAGGTATGAGTATAATAATGATTCTAACATAACACTAAGCCAAACAAACACCAAAAAAACAACTACATATGTGTATGTACAGCCACACACATATACATATACATGTACATATATATAAATACATTCAATATATATATATATATTATTTCATTTCCATTTTGTATGTTGAAGTACTGAAATAACTCAAATGAAATACAACTAAAACTTAATAAAAAACCTATATAGACAATAAAAAACTAATAAAATGACAACATGACTACAACTGTAACTAAAACTAAAATAGAAAACTAATACAAATCAAACTACATTAGTTTATCAGTAATCCTAAAAAAATAACACTGAGGCAAACACACATGCTAAAATAACAACAACTTACGGACACATAGTAAGAAATGGTTATAAAAAACTGAAACAAGTAGTAGAATGTCCTTTACAGGACAACAACAGACATTACAGTTTAATATAATAAAAAAGAGAGAATAAAGGACAGTCTCTGACTCCAACATTGAAGAAGAAACAATACAGTCATCTATACCAGTGGTTCCCAACCCTGGTCCTTTCTTTCATCTTGTTAGGTAACAGAAACTTGTTAATACCGGCCCATATTTTAATATAGAAAGAAAAGGGTTATTTATTTTCCACTTATAAAATGCTTTAGGATGACAACTAAACTTCTTAATAAGGATTTTTCTAATCCAGAAATTGTTACATTTAACATTAGAAAGCTCCAGACCTCCAATACACATTTTTGGCATTTCACATTTTGAAGATCTGTAACAATTTGCCCTAACCAAATGTAACAGTTTAGGTGAAATAGAATTAATAACCCATTCATACACTCT